ATATATATATATATATATATATATGTAACTGCAAGAGAAATTCTTTTTTTTTTTTTTTTTTTTAAGATGACCGGTAAGGGTATCTTAACCCTTGACTTGGTGTTGTCAGCACCACGCTCAGGCAGTGAGCAAACCGGCCATCCCTATATGGGATCCGAACCCGGGGCCTTGGTGTTATCAGCACCGCACTCTCCCGAGTGAGCCACGGGCCGGCCCGCAAGAGAAATTCTAATGGCTTAATTCATAGTAATGTAATCCTCTTAAGACAAGGATGACCATGTCTTCAATACCATGAGTATCAAAGACTAAATATACACAAAAAACGGAGGGTTTGGCTGCTTAATTCAGTCCCCATTCTGTGCACAAGAATCTATAAGTCATCACTCCGACTAATATGTGATGTAGCAGAGTAGACATTTTCAGGAATGCCATTTAAGTGAAACAACAGGGCTTGAAAAGAATTTTTATTCATTTTTGTTTATAGAAATTATCTTTATTTCCCTGGCATTTCAGATTGCCATTCCTAATTTGGCCTTCATGACTCATGACTCAAATAATAAAATGTAAAGAATCTGTCAATTAAAGATAAAAAGCCAAGTATTCAAATGCAAATAAGCAAACATAAATACCTCAGTAATTTACCATAATCACATTTCAAAAACTCTACCTCTTTATTAAAAATCATAAGCTCACTTTAGTCTACAGTGTGAATGTAACATTAATAGCTCCTGGGATTAATATATATTTCCATGTTTTCTTCTTGACACCCAGACTGTTTCTTTGCCTGCCTGGGATTCCTTCTCGCACGCTTTTGTTTCCCAAGACATTCGCAAATCAATTTCATCACCTTTGCTGGGCAGAACTACTTTTCAATTTCATATTGTTAACAGAAGGCTGAAATATAACCCAGAAAAATGTGTAACGATTTTGACATAGAATCTTTCAGGAGATTTTGGGTATTAACTGGGGACATTCGTAGAACTTTTAGAAAGAGCTGGATAAATAAGCCTTACATAAATACTGTGTACCTGCTTACATTTATTTGCACTTGAAAATTTTTTTACTTCATATGGAAAGTAAAAAATGATAGTGTTTAGTTCAGTTTGTCTCTCAAGCCCAATGTTTCTTCAGTTTGTCCACCAGATCTGGTACTCATGCCTGATTAATACCTGCAACAGCACTCTCCACAAAATAATTAGCTTATACTACACTCATGCGGCTCTTAACAAGGATTTGTCTGAGAAATGCGTCATTAGGCAATTTCATCATCACGCAAACATCACAGAGTGTACTTACACAAACCTAGGTAATATAGCCTACCCCTCATCTGGGCCATATGGTATAGTCATTACTATCTTATGGGACCACTGCTGTATACACAGTCTGTTGTTGATTGAAACATCATTATGAGGTGCATGACAGTATTACATAGTTATTAGGGAAGTGCTATGGTAAGATTCAAAGTAAGTAACAACATGTTGTCCAAGGAGTAAATCTGCAGGGGCTGGCTGGAAATAAAGCCTAGAATACTAGGGTTGTTCTCAGGCACCATTTTGGAAGACTATGTTTATGAATATACAATAATATGTATATTTGCCTCAAAAAATGTTTTTCTTCAAAATCTACTTAAAAAATATGTTGTATTTGTATAGTCTGTTGGGCTAAAATAATACTGAGTGGATACCTTACAGTGTAGTCCTTGAGTCAGTTGGTATTGGCATCACCTGGGAGCTGGTCAGCAATGCAAAACCTCAGGCCCCACCCCAGAGTCTGAATTTTAACAAGATCCCCCAGGTGATTCAGGTGCACACTAAAGTTTGAGAAAAATTTCTTCAAATTTTTTTACTTACCGTTCCTTTTTGTGAACAGATATATGTATTTAAAATTATTTTATTTTTAGGGTCAAATGATAAAAAAGCATTTTAGTTTTCTAACTGCCAGATAAAAAATGATTAAGACTTTCATACAGTTTTTATAACAACTTGATTGGGCAATATGAATTAATGTAAGGTTTCCAAACTGAAATTAACTTACAGGCTTTAATGGTAAACACAACCAGAAAGTTCAAGCAATTTAATAGAAATTTATGTGCTTCCCCAGACACTAGAATATGGTAGTTTATACACATCCAATTCTTTATATACAATTCTCAAAAGCAACAAACTTTTCAGGAGGCTGGCTGGTTTGCTCAGTTGGTTAGAGCACAGCCTTATAATACCAAGGTCATGGGTTTGGATTCCCATACCAGCCAGCTGCCAAAAAAAAAGTCCCTAAGCAGTTTTCATGAAACTTGGTGGCAAAATTGGATTTGACCTGGCATTAAGCTATTAATTTAATGGCTTTTAGCTCTCACTGTGACCATTACTCCTCTGCTGCAGAAATGTTAATATATGAATTTGGGGTTCTGCCACAAACTTCTTTGGAGGTGGTATATGGTATACGCCCCTATGGGTTTCAGATAAGTGATATCTCTAGTTTTTTATACAGGGTCCTTTAAGATGAGTATAGCAGAAAGAGCAAAGAGAAGAGACCAGCAAGGGAAATTAAATCTGAATAAATTTTCATAATACTGGCTAAATAAAAACTTAATACGATGCCTTAGAAGCAGTAATTGTGCAGTATATAAACAAAAGACAAAGAGGCATAATAAACTGCTTAAACAAGGTCTTAGGCTGGGGGGTAAATCTGAGGAAAGATTAGTAAATAAATTTGTAAATAGCAAGGGGCATCTTTCTGAAATCTTCCCTTGAGAAAACAAAATTTAATATAATACTAAATAGAGGTATTTCCACAGATGGAGACTCATCCAAAATAATGTAAATGGCCTCTTTAACCTTCAGATATCAAGTCATAAAAAACAAATCCATAAAAAATTCAGCCCATATTTTCAAGTTTTCTAGTATGCACCACACAATTACAACATGATGCCATTTATTTACAAGACTCTAAAAGCATGAGTCTCCAAGATCAAATATATACATTTTAATATTTGAAGTATTTACATAATGAAACCATATCATGGTTCAATGTTAAGAACAGTGTTTTCAAATGTCTTCTCAAAATGTAAAAAAATCTAGTAACTCAAACTTAGTCATGCTTTTCTAACAGGCCATTGTTTAGCTTTCTTTTAAATAAATATTCAGACATGGGAACCAACTAAACCTAATTTGTGTTAAGAACTATTTAAAACTTGTTACACTTTCAGGTCATTTTGCTCCCTGAAGTTCTGATCTACAATAAAGAAAGTTCTAGATATGTCTCTAAGCACATCGCCAGTATATTTCTGAACTTTGATGAGCAGAGGCAAAAACCAGGTGTGTGTGTGCGCATACACATACAAGATATAAACCAACCCTCTACAAAATAAAAATGCAAACAAAAATTAGTGGAAGGTAAATGCCTTGAATGATTTACTTTGTCCTTAGAAATGAGATGAAAACTGTGTACATTGCCAAGCTAAATTTCTATTGTGTTGTCAAACTCTCCTGTCTATAAACTTGCCAAATTTTATCTTTTGTTTTTAAAAGGATTTTTTTTTTCACTTATGCTTTTGGAATAAAGACTTTCTTAAAAAAAAATAAAAAACAAAGGAGTACACCAAAATTAAACTAAGGACCTATTAGTGCAAAAATGCATTAAATAAAGCTCTCCAGAATTTTATCTGCCTCATTTCTGAGCAATAAAATTAGGGACAAAAATCACTATGATCCACCCTCCTTTAAAAGAAACTGGAAAAAAAAAATAAATAAAAAATAAAATAAAAAGAGAAGCTGAAGCAGCCAGCTATCAACAGGGAAACCCCATCCTGATACCAAACTGTTGTTCACCACAGGAGAATACCATGCTCTGGGAAACGAATATCCTAATTATACCAGACACTGGGTTGGCACAATATCACTTTTCCTTTACGATTCTATTCTTCAATTAGGAAATGTATAAGGGAGCCAAAGCAATTGGGGGAAAAGACTTTTACACATACATTCACACACAAACACATTCATACAGAGATACAGTAGGAATAGATTGTCTGCTACTTTTTGCACTCTAAGTTTAAATTTCACACCTTCACGAGAGCTTACCATTTCTGATCATGGGGGAGGGAGTGGCAATAGATATGACTGGTATTCTTTCAATTGAAATCATTCATGTTGGTTCCTATACAGTACAGTTCAATATTAAGTGCAATTCTGCATAAGAATTGGGGAGTCATTTTAATATTTACAAGGAATAAATCAGCAGAACAAGATTATATCAGATAGGCTGTGTACAGTAGCTGCGTCTTATAAAACATACCAGTAATCTGTACCTGGTGAGTGTAAAGAGAACCAAGGATTCAGATGACTTTACAACCAAGGGAGTACACAGAGCATAAACAAATTAGAGGACAAAAAAATTCACATTTTCTACATTAAAAAAAAAAAAAAAATTACAGATCTCACAAATGTCTTTGAAGACCAAAAAAAAAAAAAAAAATCAAAGTCCTCTAAAAGGTGAGAAAGAAGAAATCTGAAATGGAACTCTAAATGTAAAAAGAGTTTTACTTCACAAGACCAATTTTCTTGGCTTCTGTTTCATATATCAATAATCTCCACATTTTGACTATAAAAACTTCTGCTTCTTCATCAAGTACCTAGGAAAGAAAACAGTAGCACGTGTAAGATAAGCAGTCATTAGAATCTCCCAACAATAGAGAATAATGTAAAAAGCATTTACTCTCAATACATGAAGGAAATCTGTCTAGTGCGAGAAATGAATTAAAGTTCATATAAATTACCAATAAAAAAATTAATCCAGCAAAATTCCATAGTTTACAAAACACTAACACAATAGTACTTTTTTAATCCAACTTTTATTCTAACTTTTACTTTTAACTATACAGATTTTAGCCAAGTGTTTATTATGTATGGGACACTGAACTAAACATTAAACGAGAACATAGGTAAAGCATTTAATACAGTGTCTGGGCTACAGTAAACAGAGTAAGTGAACACGATCATCAACACAGGGGACACAGATTACTGAACATGAATAAGTCAAATTATCTTTCTATCTGTACTTACGAGTTAAGTGCCTTGTGTCCCCCCCTACTACTCCTGCCCTCATCCCACACACAATATTTGGCCCTCTACACCAGGGAGGCCACAAGGAGAAATTTCTGTCAATTTCTCAATGATGGCAACTAATTAAAGAAGTTTTAATCTGAATTCTATGAGCCAAATTTGACCCCAGTTTGAGAACTATGCTATAACACTAATTCATATGGAAGTCACACTTCAGAAGTAATATATATGCACAAAATGCAACCAAAGTTCAAATTCAAAACAAAGAAAGGTATAGTTTGCAAAAGTCAGATTTTTAATAAGAGTAAAATACTACTTGAGCTAAAAATTCAATCTTCTCATTTATTTAAGAAACATTTAGAAGGCCCATGAGCTTTTACCAGAACAGACGAAATTAGCTCAATTGGTTTCCTCCCACTCTGATCAATGAACCACAAAATTATAAAAAATAGGACTATACTTCAAATACCAAAGAATTTCAACAGGCAAAATGGATTCACACTTACACATGAAATCTTCATTGCCTGTGACTGCAACTCAACCAAAAACCAGACCGATTAAAAAAAAAAAAAAAAAAAAAAAAATTCCTTCGCTCCATCCTAACTATGACATCCTCTCTTTTACCCAAAGGATAACCATTTAAGAGCCTATAAGCTCAGGAAAGTTCAGAAACCACTCCCAGGGAATAACATCTATTCATGTTTCTCCTTTCCTTTGAGGCTAATGTATTGTGGAAGCAACAAACTTTCCACAAACTTTTTATCAGTTCTAAGTAACAGCTGCATCAGGTTGGCCAAGCAGCAGAAAACCTTTGTTGTCTGCCTTTCACATCACATAGTGCCTGGGCACTAAACATCGCGACCTAAGAACTCTTTCTTCTGGCTAGAAACCCCACTATGCTCCTCTCTGATGTCTTTGGCTGCGGTTCAAAATGCAATTTCCACCAATCATCTATCATCTCCTATGATGCTTGATACTGCTTCTTCCTCTCTGACTCAATCTTCCCATTGATGCCTTCTCACTCTGGCCTTTGGACACCTACTCCGTTTTACACTAGCCATCCTCAACTTCTTTAGTTTTTTCATCCCCTTACCTTAATGCAGAGCCTGGTCTGTCCCCAAGAGCCCCTGACACTCCTGGAGCCGTCTCAAGAAGTTCCTCACAATGTCTTAGCCTCCACAGAGAGACTGTTGGATCTTCACTGTTTCTAATCTTGTTTTAAAAAGCACCTCCATGGAAGTTCCTGAGATCTCACTATACCACCTTTTTCATCCCAAAAGCAGCTGTCCAGCGAATACCTAGTCCTTTCCCCATGTTAAATGAGTGCTTTGGCACTTGGTTCCGTTATTTCTCTCCAATTCCTGTCCCAACACCCAGGAATTTCCCATGGCCATACCTTGTGCCTTGCCATCATCTGGACTGATTCTCAGCTTATTTTTTCGTTTGTTTGTTCTGTTTTATTTGCGGCTGGTTGGTATGGGGATCCAAACCCCTGACTTTGGTGTTATAAAGCCGTGCTTTAACCAGCTGAGCTAACCAGCCAGCCCCACAGCTTATATTCTTAACTTTACATTCCACTCTCCAACCATAACCTCTCTTTCTTTTTTTTTTTTTTTTTTAAAGATGACCGGTAAGGGGATCTCAACCCTTGGCTTGGTGTTGTCAGCACCACGCTCAGCCAGTGAGCAAACCGGCCATCCCTATATAGGATCCGAACCCGTGGCCTTGGTGTTATCAGCACCGCACTCTGCCGAGTGAGCCATGGGCCGGCCTCATAACCTCTCTTTCTAGTTGTTATCTTCCAACACACCTCCCACAACTTCACAGGAACCAACACTCCTTAATTCATTCAAACCACCGGCTCTATTCAGGTATTATTTTCTTCTCTTCCTAACTTGGAGCTCATATTTCACTGAATCACTCTCTCACCTTTACCACCAATTCTCTTCTCCCTTCCTTTTCTCATAAAATCACAAAGTTTAATAAATGCAACCACTGACTCTAATCCCAAATGAAATGCAATTGAGGATTTGATGTTTAACTAACACTGTGACCCAGACACCTGTCCAGACAACAAAATAGTTACACAAACTTCATGTCTCCGTTTAGATGGTAATTTCCTGTGATGCTTTCTCTAACTGCCCTTAACACCACCAGATGCTCTATCTCCTCTGCCCCATTATCCTTTTAACATACCTGATTACAACAAGCACATTATGGTTTCAACATCTGTATACCTGTCTCTCTGATAGTTCTTTAAGGGCAGACATTCTACACTTTGTGCTTTTAGCACTCTGCTCTAATAAATAATCATCTAATAAATGTTCTCTAAATGTCTGAATGAATCTAGGATTTATATTTATAAACAAAATATCGAAGGCTGAATGAAGCAGGAGGTGGGAGTGTGGGACAGAACCAGAAAAAGAAAGAAACCCAACGTTTTAAGTGCTGGGTGAAAATATCTTACTGTGGGTGCTTTTAACCTTTTTAAGTGCATATTCAAATTTTAATTCACACCTATAAGAGTCCAGCACCAACACAGGAAGAAAATGGATCTAATTTGGGAGTTACTTTGTTCATAGATACTAATTAAAATATTAATAGTAGTGAATTTCTAACTTACCATGGCAACATCATCTAAAATGCTCTGTGGTGAACTATGAGCCATAACCTAAAAGAAACATAATTGTTATGTTAAGAATAAACATAAAAGTAGAAATACAGTCAAGAAATTTTAACATACAAACCCTCAAAACTGGTATGAGAATTTGTGGCTGAGGAACCTTCCTATAAACTTTTTAATTCTCAGAATCTCACTCTCTTCAATAAGAAAAGTTGGACACCAAAACCTGGGATTTTAATCACTATAGTGTCTGTCTTCTAACTGTAAGCCAAACCTTACTTACAGAAGTTTTAATTCTGCAATAACTAAAAGTGGAGACAGCAGCTTAAATTTGCTCTTCATATATATATATATATATATATTTTTTTTTTTGGCAGCTTAGCACTACAGGGATCAAACCCTGGACCCTGGTGTTATGAGCATCATGCTGTAACCAATGGAGCTAACCGGCCAGCTGCTCTTCATAATATTAAGAAAGCACTACTGGTGGAAAAATAGCAGTTATACCTTTACAGGCATATGGTGCTCCTACTACAGTAACTATCTTATTAATAGTAAGAGTATGCTTTCAGGAGACAATGGAAAGATATACCTTCGTGGTTAACAGCAAATGTTTTAGAGGCAAAACTCTGTTACTTATCATGTATAATCACTGCCAATCTCTCACTAAACCTCAATTTCTTAATGTATAAAATGGGACTTAACATTTTGTTACATTGTGGGGAGGTTTAAAGAAGCATGCATAGTCAATAAACATCAACTTTTATCATGATATAGAAGGAGCCATTCTGCTCCTCTTCCACAACATGGGTGTTAATGAGACAAGCTATCAGCTATCCCCACAAAACCTACTCAACTGTATTTCAACAGCATTCTTCTAACCAAGACAAGAGGGTGGCATGGCATTCTCAGGGTCAGGAAGAGCATAATTGGCAGCAGCCAGCCATTCTTTCCTTCCTGACCCTCTTAAATGAAAGAATGCAGCACACAGAGTCTGAAGTAGGGGTGGGAAGGTTCATTAAAGCAGCCATGATTCGCTTAGTTGAAACTAAATTATCATAGACTCAGCTCTGAAAGGCTTTTTATTTTAGAAAGTGTCTAACATTTTAAAATATGAAATAAACATTGGGAGTGGAGGGCATAAAAGACTAACCTTAGAACAAACAAAATCAACTAATGTAGCTTCTTCTTCACCTATGTATTCTATGATTTTCTTATTAATCCATGGTCTAATTCGTCGTTCCATCAGTATCTGCAAAACAAAGCAAGCTTACTGAATTAAAGAATTATGGCTTTTTATTATACTTACTAAAAAACCTTAAACCTCACCATTTTTAAGACTGTATTTGCATGTTTGTTCATATGTTGAACTAAGGTAGGTATTTTATCAAGACACAATTATTTGCTTCTAATCTATGAAGACATCAAGTACCAACAAGAATTTTTCCAATAACATAAAGTCCTTGGCCATGGCATTTACATGTTGTCAAGATGATCATCCCAACTTATGTGTCATTAACAGAATCAAATGAGTTGATATGCCATATTAGAAACCACTCCCAATAATATGACGAAATACGATTTGCTACTCACAGAATCCACAATAGACCAATCCAGGGGATAAGCAAAGAGCTCAGGTTTGGCTGTAGGGATTTTCTCGATGAGGCTCTTAATGTGTTTGCGCTTTTCTTCAGTGTTTACAGTGCCTTTGGCAGCATTTTTATCATCTTCACCATAATCCAAGGGAACTAGTTTCCTTTTTCGGGGTACATCATCACTATCTTCATCCTCAAATTTGTTAAAGACACTATCTACAGGTAGTTTCTTTCTCTTCACAGAATTAGGTTGACCAGGACTATTGGAAGCACCTACAGTAAAAACATTGTTAACATGATGACTTAATTTTCAAATGTTACATCACACAACCCACCATCCCTCAAAAGCAGTGAAAAATATACTTCCGCAAATCTCAGAGAAAGATCCCAACTGTAAAAAATAACTCACTACTCACAAGTGCTAGAAAATTTAACTTTTCACTTCTTCTCAGAACTCGAGGCAGCTGCAGATATAGGAGCACTAGTAGAACTATGAAAACAATTGTGAGCTAGAAGGGCATTTTTGAATAATTTTCTATCTACCTATCAAGCAGCACAAAATTATTTTTTTCCTTAAATCAAAATACAGGTATTTGCAGGGGAGAAAAAAAGGAAGGAAATGCTAACATACCCAATTTAAGACTCAGTCCTATCTTTGGCCTATGCTCCTCGGGTTGTTGTTGATCTGGAGAGTTTTCGTGAGGAATAATAATGCCACATGGAGACTCATCCCCAGGAGTGTTGGGTGTTGCATTACCACTGGCAGAGGAAACAGATGGGGCAGAGCTGATGGGCCTCAGAGTGGGTTTGAGACAGGGCTTTTGCTCTGGCTCTTCTTCCTCTTCCACAGGTTCTTCTCGTTTTTCTTCTTTTTCTTGCTTTTCTTCCTCCTCCTCCTCTGATTCTGGCTCTTGCTTTATTTGTGGTTGTCTGCGCCTCTCAGCCTCTTGTTCCATCTAAAACCAAAAAAATAATCTGATTAACTTGGAAGATACTACAACTATACTCAAGTTGCTTTTTGTTTTACATTATCTTTTGTAAAATACCTTTTTTCTTTTTCATTAGGAATAACTGAATACTGCCTCCTTCTACCACCAAAGTGCTGAGTAAATCTAGAGTAGATTAGGTATGTTATTAAAAATATTTTATATATATTACTGTTCTTCAGTGGCTTGTATAAGTTCTTCAGAGATAACAAAGAATAAAAGTAGTCTGCTAAATTCAGAAAGAAACAGTATATTTTTGTGTTTTTATTAAAGAAATTATAACCAAAAGTTTTATTTTAGAAAAATATACATAATACATAAAAGGTAACTCAAATTCTCAGCTCTGTTATATACAATCATTTGTTCTTTCTAGGTAATGGCTGAAGGCAGTAGTCACTTTTGCATTCATAAACAATAGGGAAAGGAAGAAATAAGGAAAAGAAGGGACCTTTGGAGTCAAAGGCCTATATTAAAATGAACATTCCCCCTTAAATGATGAAAAATATTTTTAAAAAATCATCACAGGAGCATTATAAAAAACTGTGTGAATGGAATATTGATTTTTCTAAGCATGAAACAAAAAACAGAAAAAGATAGAAATACGGATCTTAAACTACATAAAAATCCAAAATGTGTGCATGACATAACATACCATCTAACTACCAACTCATAAAGTACAACCATTAAACAATCCATAAAGCATTCAAACTGCTCATAGTCAGAGAATCAAAAAAATAAAAACATCCCCCAACCAAAATGCTACAATGCTAAAATATTAAAAAGACTGACAGTATGCCATGATGGTGAAGGTATGGTCACGCACTTAGGAAACTGTGTGTGTGAGGGTTGTATACGTATACTTGTGTGATGACATTTTAAAAATTACCCCAGCATTCATAGTGATAACTGAATTATAAATCATATGCTATTTAACTGCTTCATTATTGTTTTTGTTGTCTGAATTTTGTTTTGAAAGAAAAAAGGGACATGTAACAAGACATGGCTTCTTTATCCAAAAGCATGTAACAGGTTAAAAAAGAAAAAGTTGATACGAAAAGTTCATATTAGGTCTATGAGATAATAACAATTTAAAACTTTTCTACATGACACATTTTATTCTTAAACACAAGAACTGTGTATGCCATAACATGACACAGTCTTCAAGTTTTATATGAGAACTGTTCATGAAAACATCTTTACTTTAGAAACAAAATATTTAGGGTAGCAGTAAAAGAATAAACTTATAAAAAGATGACGTGATAATCTTAAAACACCATCATTATGGATGTTACAGTATCTCACCCTCTGCAGCTCTGCATCCGGATCTGGGTGCCCTTCTGCTAGAAGACGTTGCCTGATTTCCTCAAGCTCTTCCTTTTCTCTCTTCCTATCTCGTTCATCTGCTTCCATCTCCTTTTCTCTATCACGCAACCTTTTCTGAAGAGCACTTCCCCTGCAAAAGTAAATCATAACAGGCCTCATTTAATATTCAGATCATTGGCTATTACATGTGATGTTTCCATCAGCACCTTTTTTCGATACTAAAAGCTGTGTGCAAGGAGACTGAAGACTTAATGTTCTTTATCTACAGAAAACTCAAGACACTCCACATGTTCATATGTAATAAGCACTGTCTTGTCATTTATCGCCGTGCTTCTTTCATTCTTAGTCATTCTAAATAAGTGTCTAAAACAAGTAAAAAGGAAACTTTTAGAGGGAAGAAAATGGCTCCACAGGGAATCCCCAACACATAATTTGCGTTTTCTTAGACATCAAGCTGTGAAAAAGTAATACAAGTAGCATTAATACCACTAAGAATAGTTCCATATCTACTCAAATTCTTTCCCTTGTAGAAAAATTCCAGAAGTAGTGCACAACAGAAAACAGAGGTTCTTTCTATCTTGCAGTTCATTATGTCTCAGAATGCTGAAGTCATGCACTGCCATTTTGATTCTAGTCTTTGATAATTTTGTTTTTGTAGCATTTTGTACAATCAAATCCTTAGCCTTCTTTCAGTAAGTTAATATTTTCATTATTTTGACTAAAACTGTATTAAATTTAATTATATATTAAATCTTATCATTATGCATGCATATCAGACACACTACAGATAAAATGATATATCAACAACACATTGTCCATATTCTCAGGGAACTTATAGTTTAGATGGGAGGTAGCAGAACAAGACCAACAATTTTACCATAATGTTATAAACGCTAGAATAAGAATTTAGAAATGCCATGGGATTCGGATCCCCATACTGGCCAGCTGTCTCCCCTTCCCCACCAAAAAAAAAATGCTGTGGAACAAAAAGAGGAGGGAAGGCAGGTCTCACAACTCTCACTGCACAGTAATATATCAATTTGAAAATGCGGTGGGGGAGATTTGGATTGCTATGTGTCATTCTTGAAATCCTGAAAACAAAAATTTCTAAACAACCCTAGATAATTATAAAAATTAGTTATAATTTGCTATAAAAATTGAACCTATTTAAAACACAAGAAAAAATTAGTTCCCCCGCAAAAAATGCATAGAATTGTTGATCCTTTTCTAACAGCTCTTTTCTGCCCAGAAAGCAGCATATGAGCAATGAAAGTGATTGCAAGATAGTGTGAAGATTTCCTGTTTTATTCCACTTAGTGAACCTGCACTCTCAGACAGACAAGGGAAAATACAGTTAATAAAAAGCTGGAAGTGAATTCATAACACAATACCTGTAGTATTTGGGATCATCTCTGTCATCATCATAGTCTTCTAAGAATTCTTTTAGTCTTTTAGCTTCTTTTGCCTTTGAGGAAATAAAGGACAAAGTGTGAAAAATTAACATACATGTCATTCAGATCACCACCTCCCCCTTGTGTGGGAATAGATTTTCTCTTATCCATATCACTTAAATTTTATAGTTCTCATATACTTCACATATTAACTGTAAATCACATTAGACATTTACTATCTTTTACCTGTAAAACAAGTCAGCTTTAGAACTTATCTGTGAAATGAAAACCACATATATATAGTATGCTGCAATAAATATCCTCTCTGAATATAATCCTCAAAGTACAATAATTATTGTTTCTTAAAACCTGAGCACACCAGGAAAACAAAAAATTTTTGTTATTAAACTTATTAATTGGACAAAAATACTTTAAATTTCATTTTGTAGGTAGATGATGCTACAAGAAGTAGTTCTTATGAAAAGCAGGATTAAAAATTTAGATCATATTCATGCATCAATCTAAAAGACAATGCCTATCTAACCTATAGTAAGCAAACTCTAAAAGTACATAAATTTCTAACTCCTATTTTTGGAATTCCAAAAGCAACAACTATTATATATAAAAATTATATCCAACAATTTTATAAATATTTTATCTACATATATATCTAATTATTATATCAATGTAAACTCAAAATCTGTCAAACGAATGAACGTATATTGTCAGGTGCTAACGGCCATGACAGTATTTACAAATATTTTCAATTACTAAAGTATAGGCACACAGCAAGGCCCACAGGTAAATACTAAAATATAAACGCCATGTACTACTCAAGAAGATGGGGAGAAACTTGCACTGTTACTTCATAAACTTGCGTTACTTGAACATGAACAAGAACTACTTATGTAACTGGATTTTTTTTAAAGCTCTCAAATAAAAAATAATAGGAAATTTTTCTCTAGGAAGATAGGTTGCAGATATGCTCACAGGAAGCAGAATCATTTCAAGAAGTTTATTCCATGATGATGTTGGTGACATTTCTTTAAATAATTATATCTCTTACTCTATTATTCTCTTCCTATTTCCTAATCAAGGGGTGAAAAAGAGTTTAGAATGGGAGCTATAGTCTCATTTTAAATTTAACTGAGAATAATAAAAATTACTTCAAATAATTCTATAACATTAGAGATCTAATAGCTGAAAAACCCATATTATCTACCTAGTTGCTGCATGCACCCTTTTTGGTTACGTACAAAAATTCCCTCTATGTCTCATGTTCATAAGCTATTTGAAGAAGATTCCTAACTTCAGTGAAGTTTTTGGAAGAATAATCTCCAAACTGGAGATAAAGAAACTTTCATGAAATTATGGCAAAGACAGAACACATGGAACAAACTACTGAAGCAAATACCATGTTAAAGTAAATTAGTTTACTTAATAACAACCTGTGCCAACTGCTTCACTGTTAGTTTATCAACAGTGTAAATTCAAAAAGCCAAATTCATTTCATGACCTTGCAGTAAAAAGAAAGAATATGGTAGCATAATGAAAAACTATATTCGTAAATGTTACATACAAAAATAATTCTGATTTATAAAAACAGTTCTCACCACATTTGCTTTATCCAAATGCAATATACCAATTCACTGATTTTGCAGATTCTTAAAAAATGGTCTATAAATTTTCAGTTTATATATTGTAGTGCAACAAATTTACTTTGACAGTATACAAAACCAATTTTGTTTATGGTCAGCAAAAATTTGAAAAACAGAAAGAAAAGATTTTGATGTACTGATATTGTCTCAAGGCTGCTAAAATACACAAAAATTAACTATGGATTGAGAAGCTTGTACATTTCAATTATCAAGTTACTTCTGGTTAAGAGTAAAGATTTGATCTGATTTTTATCTGAAAAATCACTTATTTTTAACCCAGAATCTTACCATTTCTCTTCTTCTTTCCTCTTCTCTTTCAGCCTCTTTCTCATATTCCCGGGTTTTCTTTCGTTCTCTGATTTCCCAATTCTTAAGGCGCTAAAAAATGAAATTTTTAAAGTTTCACAAACTTATACAAAGGATTCTATGAATTTTGACTACTAAGTATATCAAGCTTTACAAATAAAAACATTTCCTCAATTTACCTCTTGATAAGCAGCTTCTTTCTCTCGGAGTTTTCTTTCAAGTTTTCTTCGCTCATATGCATCTTCTTCATCCTCTTCTCGGTCCCGTTTCTTATCTTTCTCTCTCTCTCGCTCCCGCTCCCTCTCTCGCTCTCTCTCTCGCTCCCGTTCTCTTTCTCGCTCTCGTTCTCGCTCTCTCTCTCTTTCCCGCTCCCGTTCCCTTTCACGATCTCTGCTCTTTTCTCTAAGTAAACAAAAGATTTAAAAATCTGTCAGTCTACATTCTGTTTGCCTTTAAAGCCCAAGGGAAAGGGGGACATTTAAAAAAATCATATATAAACTCACAAGCCAAAACTTAGCATTTGATTTCTGCAAAATTGTAAACTCCTCTATATTCATCAGAAACACAGACAATAATTCCAGCACCAAATTCTGAACTGCATTCTAAAGTCAACGTTAATGCTTATTGGTATATCAGAAAACAAATAAAACCTAAATATAAAACTATTATAAAGGATTGAAAAATGATTACAGAATGATTAATTACGGCTTAGGGTACTTCAAAAAGTTCATGGAAAAATAGAATTAAAAGATAATATGAATCTAGGGGCCAGCCTGTGGCTTACTTGGGAGAGTGTGGTGCTGATAACAAGGCCACAGGTTTGGATCCCTATATAGGGATGGCTGGTTAGCTCACTTGGGAGAGTGTGGTGCTGATAACAAGGCCACAGGTTTGGATCCCTATATAGGGATGGCTGGTTAGCTCACTTGGGAGAGTGTGGTGCTGAGAACACCAAGTCAAGGGTTAAAAGATAATATGAATCTTTAAGTGAACTTTTGAAGTACCCTTGTCAATCACATAATGGTATATAATAGAAAAAAGGAAAAATATTAATTCCTCGTCAATGCCCCCCAAAATATGAAGGACTAATGAACATGTTAAAAAGTAGTCTATCCCTCACTAGTGATCAAGGGATAGGGTGTTGGGCATACATGTGGAGAAAAGAGAATTTTGGCATGTTTTATGGATCAATTAAAATTATATGCATGAGCACTGGGAGCTCTCAAATATTTAATTCAGAGTGATAAAACCAAATTACAGAATTTATATAGCATTATGCCATGGATCTAATTATATAAATGTACATAAGAAACAATATACTGTTTGTTAATACATGTACGTCACAAAAGTACAAAAACACTGATTTTATACATTTCAAATTCTCAATAATGGCTATATCAGGGAAGGAAGAAAAGCAGGGATTTTAATGTTCACTAAAGATTGAGAGCATGGGACTTCAGTTCCAGCAACACGGTAAACTGACCTAAAGTATACCTCCCTCCAGCTACAATCAAGTAAAAAACTACAACACAGTACTGAACATTTTAAAAGTAGCTTGGGGGCTGGCCTGTGGCTCACTCGGGAGAGTGCGGTGCTGATAACACCAAGGCCACGGGTTCGGATCCTATATAGGGATGGCCGGTTAGCTCACTGGCTGAGCGTGGTGCTAACACCACCAAGTCAAGGGTTAAGATCCCCTTACTGGTCATCTTTAAAAAAAAAAAAAAAAAAGTAGCTTGGATATGGTGACCTCTCCTCTGGTTCCTTCCCCTGTTCATTTTTGCTCTACCCTCACTCCTGAAGAAAGACTCATCAAATGAGTTCATTATAATTAAAAAATTTTAAATAACAAAACAAACAAAAAGGTATAACTACTAGGAAGCATAAATAGTAAATTTAGAACCAAAAAGGTTAAGTTGTGGCAGGTCAATGGGCTCACCTACACACAAACAGAGGCTAAAAGAAGTGGTGCTAGAACTGATTTCTCAGTATACAGAAGCTGAATGAAAGGGTAACTAGAAAAAATGTCCAGTGGTCCAGGGAGACAACAGGGAATCATGTCTGCCCAGAACACTGAGTACACATCAGTGTGTTCTGGGTCTCTGTAAAAACTGGCTTCAGACAGAAACTAACCAGAGTTGAAAACAGTAACTTTCACCGATGTTATCCGAGTGTGTTAAACAGAAAGCTAGGCACACCCTGTGGCCTTACATGCTCACATGAATCACATGAATGCAAACAGTCCTACAGAGGACTACCCTGTAGGTCTATTAAAGCTATCAGGAAACAGTAACTTATATGAAGCCTTACCTTGATCGACTCCGATCCTTATTACGATCTGAGCTCCTTTCCCGGTCCCGGTCACGATCTCTCTCTCGATCCCGATCTCTCTCTTTTGTCCGGTCACGGTCCCTATCTCGTTCTCGTTCCCGCTCCCGTTCCTTCTCCTTTTCTCGTTCACGTTCTCTTTCCCTTTCTCGTTCCCGTTCTCGCCTTTCTCGTTCCCTTTCACGCTCCCTCTCTCTTTCTCTCCGTTCTTTCTCAATTTCCTGTCTTTCTTTTTCCTTTTTGCCTTTCTCTTCTTCCAGTTTCTAGAAACCAATAAAAGTACTTTTAGAGTTAACTCTGTAGCTCCAGTATTAAGATTTTTCCCGGTGCAATACTCAATATTGGGAACAAATACACCAAACCACTGGTACTTTATATAAATACTTGTGGTTCCGCTTGACAAATTAAATTGAAGCAATCACAAGACTAGATAGATTTGTGCAAAACCATATATTCTACACAGACCAAGAATCTCCAATTGTAGATGCTGGGAGACTGTGTAAAGTGTGGCTGGCCACTCAATGACTATGTAATAACTAAAATGACCATGAAGAATGTGGTGGTTCACAATAATTCCTAGAAACACAGTCACTTGTCTAAAACTTCATTCTGCCCATTATGAATTTCTATAAATCAATGGGACTATCAATACTAATTATAACCCCAGACTTCCCATTATCTAAAGGTGAGGATTTTAAAGGGCAAGTGGGGGGAGGAGACTAAGGTCACTATAATGCAACTAAATGTTCTGCCCTCTGATTTGCCCGCCCACCAAAGGAAACACAAGTGAATTCAGCCAACATCTAACTTCTCATCTATGGAGTCATTTACTCCCACTATTACAAGATGGACAGCCCACCAAATACAAAAAGTTTGAAAATCACTCACTTCAAGCAAAACGTACATAATTGTAATATTTTCATTTAAAATATTTAAAAGCAATATATATATGCCCATTATGCCTGTAAGACAATAAAAATATATTTACAATGATAAATCCATCCTTGGAAGGAACGATTGTGTATTAACTTACAGATGCTGTGCTAGGACATGGATCTCCAACACTGGATTAACCTTGCCTACAAGCTATGTTTCTGGGAGGAAGAGCAAGTACATGGTTCACAAATAAACCAAATAACAAAGTCAGACCAAGTTTGTACCCTGCCAAGATTACCAGTGCACACGGTTGCTATATAAACGCAGAAAAAAATACCCCAAGCAGGTAAAACAAAACAAAATACATTAATCTCTTTGGCTCCATGTTTAGTTTCACCAAAATGAAATTTAAACTGTAACAATAAAATGTGCATTTTTTTCTTTTCTCAGTCATGTAAAGCATTTAAAACAACTTTAAAAAGCAATCTTACCTGTTACTCTTTCTCTCTTGCTCATGGATCAGAGAACTGATAGAGGATTATGAAAGAAAAGCTAACGTATGAGAGATCAATATATTCAGCTGCTGTGCCAGTCTATATGAAAATAGAATGCAGGCAAAGCCAATACTGAATATACTGAAATTACAAAAGGAAGAGATAAGAAATGGTAGAAAGAAGACAGAATCTGAAAGCTATTAAAAAGGGGCAAAATATCATTTCTGAAACAGTTCTAATGGAATATAAAAACTTATACTGTAAAATGAGGCTAGACTACATAAAACTTACCTCAATGTCATATAAAGAAATTTATTTCTGAGATAATAGATACTTACAGATTATTTTAGCTGTTCCAATATTATTTTCTTTTGTAGAATTCCTCAATTTTTTACTCTTGCTTATTTACTGTGCTGCTTATTCACTTATGTAAGTAACAATTTGTTTCAGAACTCATTTCAAAAGTTTGGCTCTAAGTAAATAAAAATGTGAGTGAATCTAGCCATACTAAATGTTTTTCTAAAAGGTTATATACACTATATACATATATATGCATATATTTAGCATATACATGTATATTTTTAAGAAAGACTAGAGAAAGAGGAAATGAGCCTAAAAAAATGAAAGAAAGTAATGAAGAGGAAGGGATAGATTTTTTAAAAATCATAAATCTTACCTTATTCTCTCTTCAGACTCATCCGTGCTGTAAATGGACGCCCCCTGCCACGCTGATACCCTGACAGTCCGTGGTTATTTAATATACTCATACCAAAACATGCAAAGGTTCACTGAGCTCATATTTTGTTAATGTAGTTTCAAACATCCCCTTTAACCACACCACCCAATAAAAAGAACTGTTTTTGCTTTTCATTTTGATTTCTTTTTATTTTTAAGACATATTTTGGAAATACAAAACATTCCCCACAGTAAAATACTAAGGCAATGAAATGCCTGAGGATTCTCAAACTCTGAAGCAAATGTCTTTTGAATTAATTTTTTAAAAACAAGATTTCCTCATAATTTACCAATAATATGACAGGGTTTAACAAATAAATAAAAACAAAACAGGGGTAAACCACACACACAACTATATACCATTTTTAAGCTTACTCAAACCTGAATTTGACTACTGAACCTAAGCAAAAGTATTCCTATAAAATGACTTCCCACAGACCATCTTTTTAACTCTCAAAATTAATTTTGGAAGAATTACATTTGTGCTTTAGACACGTTTAATTCCTGAAAAAGCACTATGTATGTAAGCTAAAGCTGGGCATCTGGATAATGTGTGATCAGCAGCACTGATTCATTCGCATTGTCAAATTGGATTTTGAAAGCAATGAGAAAAAATAAGACTGAGAGAGAAAACACTGAACATTTCACCGAGTTAAATGTCTCTTGGTCTTGTGTAAGAACCAGTAAAATCATATTACCTCTAAGATCAAAATACATTTCATGCAGTGTTTGCATTTCACCACCCGTAAGCATCACCTTCAACACCAGCGAACATTCACAGATGCACTGTCATAGAGAGAAGCTTTAAATAGGCAAAACTCGTGAGTGGGATTTACTATGCACAAATACCCATTTCCAAGCCAGTTACCCCTTTGCATATTTTTCTGAGGGGGCATCCATAAATATAATAAAAAACAGAAGCTCATACTTACATCCTATTCCTTGTTACTTTCCAAGCTGAGAGTTTCATCTTGCATTAGTCACCATATGATCTCTATCATAATGGTGGGGGTCAATGAATAGATTAGCTTTATGGGAATTTACAGTTCTTCCATGCATCTAAAATTTGGTAAGTCTGGTAACCACTGACCTACTTTTAAAAATCTCCCCCACTCAACTTAAATCTATACAAATATCAAATTTTAATCTCAGCTCTAAAGAAAATGTTTTCCTAAGATTAAATAACTGCCCCCAAAAATACACTACAGTGTCTGTTATCTTGCTGCCCCCTTGAATCTAGTTTAAATCGGACCTTGATGTTTATGTTGAAATCTAAAAACAAAATTAGCTTTTATTCTTATTAATGTGAGATGACTGCAGAGTAGTCAGAAACTGAAAATACTAAGCAAAGTATGTCAAGGACCACTTTAATATGTTACTGATCTTCTGTTTCTTTGTTTCTATCTAAATATCAATAAAACCTAAAAAAAAGCATTTAAAATTATATTCTAATGTAAGGTTGATTTTTTTGTCTTTTTGCTTTGGACTGTGTAAAAAGTCTAGATTGGTATCAAGTGAAAAAGCAAGAATACTACCTTGTGTGTGTCTCTGAATTTGCTGATCTCTCGGGAAATCAGGTCTCTTTTATCTTCTTCCATTTCTATCGCATTTATATCCTCCTAAAAGAAAAGGGGGAAAAGAGGGAATGAAAAAAGCTCAATCTACATCAATATAAAAAAAGCTAAAGGTTAGATATTTTGTGCAGGTCTTACAAAATATATGAGTAAATAACATCTTACAGTAACAAATCTAAAAATCTGAGTAAATAAACAACATCTACAATAACAAATCTAACAATCTGAAGTTAAAAAGCAGGCAAGAATCACAATTCTGGCAACTAGCAATAAATACAGGTATTGTCAAAGCCTACAATTTAAACAAACCTTAGTGATGAGTGGATAAGGGATCAGTGGGGCCACTGGAAATCTGCGGAAAATCTGCGGAAAGATCCACGAAGATTTTTTTAAAAAAACAGAGCTCATACTACTTTGCAAAGCAATGCCCTACACATTTACACTGTAAACAATACAGTACTTCTGTGATTATTTTCTTGATTTCAAATTACTTGATAATAAAAATGATTCCACTCCCTTTACAACCCCTCCAGTCACCCACAACCTCACTTCCACTCCCTTTAACACTCCCAAACAATGGAATTAGGAAGGTCCCCTAGTAGCAGGGCTTTCTCCTTGATCTCCTCCAAGACACAGGAAATAATCATACCAACAAAATTTACCTATAATTCCTGCCATAGAGCAGGATTCCTCTGATCCTCTCCTCCTAACCCACATTGAACAAATATGTCTAGTTATTTTTCTCCTTTCCCATCAATAGAGGAAGAGGAAGGACAAAGTCTACAGGCCTCAATTACCCTATACTTGACTGACCCTACCAATTACCATTCCCAACAGACTACAGCTCACTAGACAGGATTTTATGACCAAAAGAGGAAGAACAAGCCAAGTAATAAAAATGTATTTGACCACAAAGAAAACCGAAGATAACCTAAAAAGGCACTGAAACCCAAAAGAATATGAACTGTCACTATCCCTTGACAATTAATCATAATATATATATATTTTTAATAGTAGTACTTTTTTATGGCACATAGCAGGGTACTTCAAAAAATTTGTGGAGAGATTTATGTTATCTTTTAATTCTATTTTCCCATGAATTTTCTTTTTTTTTTTCCTTTTTGTCTTTTTTCATGTCCGGCAGTGGATCGCAACCCTCAGTGTCGCGCCCGTACCGGACCGGGACCAGCAACGAGATCGCAACCCTCGGTGTTGCGCCCGCTCCTCGCTCAGCCAGTGAGCGGGAACCGGTCTGTATGTGGGATCCGAACCCTCGGCGGGAGCGCCGCCACACTCCCAAGCGGCGCACTGTAGCAGTGCGCCACCGGGCCGGCCCTTTCCCATGAATTTTCTGAAGTACCCTCGTACAATCCATATATATATATAAAATACTTCTGATATTTTTTAAAAACAGTCCCCATAATTTCCAAGTTTATCTGAAGGAAATGTGTTTAAGAGAACCAAACATTTCCTTTCAACCTTGATTCCCTATTCTTCAATTAACTTAGGCTGACAAAGAGGTGACATTCAATTCACTGAGGAGTATGTCATCTTGTGCTACTCCTTCAGAGTCCTCCAGTTTCATGTTTAATACCATTATTGTCCATGTAGGGGAATGAGAAATAGTTTTTAAAAGAAAGGCAGCTAAAAATTTTTAAATGGGTGAAAATCTTTAGTGAAAGTCAGTCCCTACTTTATCACTACTCGAGTTTTTTGTTTCTGTTTTTTACTTAATTGAATCCACAGATAAGTACAAGCCTCCATGCCAGTGCATGCCAAACATATAAAACAGGAAAATGTGGGGCAAAAAATTAGGAAAGTAGCTGATAAAACATGGTCAAAATAGGATTCTATATGTATATATATATAGAAAAGTATACTCTTTAAATATATAATACATATTGTATAGTGCTTTTTCATGGCATATAAAATAGTTCCAGTTTTTTGGGGTTTTTTTTTGGGGGGGGGGGGCGAGGCATCTGGCCGGTAAGAGGATCCAAACCCTTGACCTTGGTGCTCTTAGCACCATGCTCTCCCAAGTGAGCTAACTGGCCAGCCATTCCAATATTTTTAAAGAGCACACCCCACCATTTCTCTAAGTTTATCCAAAAGAAATGTGTGAAAAAGTACCAAATATTTTCTTCGAACTTGTACATTGCAATAAATTCTAGTCATTCTGCTCTCCAAAAGTTAGAAAGCTCAAAGTGACACCATAAAAAATAAATTATAAAAATACTGTGTGTTGTCAGAACACATACGTCTTCCTTCTTTTCCTTCTTCTTCTTCCTAGGGTGAGAGTCAGATTCCTGTGAGGGGGCATTTAGCTCGCTGGAGTATTCACGTATTAAAACTTCAATGGCCCCTTTAATCATCTGATCCCTTCTCTTTGTTTCTTCATCTAAAGCTTCTTCATCATCATTAGTGACAGTTTCTGGTCTGGCAGTCTTTAAAAACAAGGCAAATTCAGGGGAGGGAGAGGAAAAAAAAAATCAAACAGAAATATGAAAATCAATCTAAAACAAGAGTTAATAAACAAAACAAACATGTTTTTTCAAAAACATCATTGTAGTCCTATTAAATGCAGAGTTGGTTATGATCTTTTTTTTTTTTTTTTTTTTTTTTTTTTTTTTTTTTTTTTTTTTTTTTTTTTTGAAACCGACCGCACTGCACTCAGCCAGTGAGAGCTGTGAGCACACCGGTCATCCCTATATAGGATCCGAACCCGCAGCGGGAGCGCTACTGCGCTCCCAGCGCCGCACCTTCCCGAGTGCGCCACGGGCTCGGCCCAGTTATGATCTTAACATCACAAAACTAGCCTCATTTCTTTTACTAAGTGTTTTCCTGAGATACTGATACTTTACCATTTTCTTTCTTCCCTCAATAGCTAAAATCTTCGCCCATAACAAGCTACAAAAACATTAAATCACAGGACTAGCATACTATACAACACATCTGCAAAGCTTTCACAATCTGTCGGATGGTCTTGCTCAAAAGTTGACAAACTAATGATTATTACAGGTTGAATATCCCTACTCTGAAAATCCAAAATCCAAAATGCTCCAAAATCTCAAAGTTTTGGAGTGCCAACATGATGCTCAAAAGAGCATCTCAGATTTCTGGATCAGGGGTGCTCAACAGGTTAAGTATCTGCAAATATTCCAAAATCCAAAAAAAAATCTGAAATCCGAAACATTGCTGGTCCAAAGCATTTCAGATAAAGGACATTCAACCTGTAATAAATAATGAACTCATTTTCTTGCAAATAAATATTAAACAGCTGGCAAACTGTTGAGGAAGTTATATGATAAAAGCAAAATACAATTTTAAGTAAACTATGATAGCCAACATGTCAAATGAGCAGAAGCATGTTTAGGTTAAACAAAAAAAAATCCACTAGATACATATATACACCAAAATGCAAGCATCAGAGGTAAGGGACTGAAATGACAGTTTTTTTCTCTCTCTGCTTTCTGTAATTTCTATAACACGGAGTTCCACTTGTAAAAACAATATACTTATACACCAAAAAAGAATCAACTCTAAATACTTCCCCATTAACGTGCACATGTAACATTATAAAAACTAAAAACATAAAATTCATGTAATGCTACTTACAAATAAGCAACTGATTATTTGTAGGCTTTATTAATAATCTTTAAGAGAGTTAAGTTTAGATCATTAACTCTGTGTCTCTCAGGGAAAAAAAATTACTGGCTTCTAATGTGGTGCTATTCTTGTTTCTAAGTTTTATTTTAAGTCCCCTGGTTATGGACTAAACCCAGGTCAAACTACAGAAACTTCACAGAATGACCTCCAAACTTTGGATAATTTCCAGTTATTCTCAACTCCTCTCTACTTAAAACATGGAAAGAGATAAAAGTATGACAAAGAAACAACAAGATAAACAAAAAAGAGTACGTATACAAAAACATTTTTTTCTCATTTAAAACCATATACACACACACTGCAAAATATTTATCAATTTACTTGGTAAACATATGCCATGCATATTTTCAGATATATGCAAGAACCACGCTCTTCTGCCTAAATGCCTAGCTCTTGGACACAATGCACAAAATCTACTGAAGGTGGGTTTCATGCCTTGTGGCTCATTAACAATATAACCTAGCAGTGATTTCTAACTCGACCACCAGCATTTTGAAAGCTGTCTCCAATGGATATACATTTAACAAACATTTCTTTCTTAACTTAATTTGCTCAATGAATTTTTACTAAGAGCATACTGTATGCAGAAAAAAGAAAATATTTAAAAAAAAGAACTTACCTTCAAGCATCTACTACTACTTGGTAAAATATGAGCCATGACATATAACCTCAATATAAGGCATTATGTGTTATTATTATAAAACTAACCACACTGTGTTTCCTACTTTCTCAAACCTGCCTGTTCATCCAATCTTCTTGTAGACACCTTTCTACTTGACATCTTAAATAAAGATGAGATGCTTTACTCAAGTAATTAAACTGTTAAAATTATTTACCAACAATATAGTAAACTAATTGTGGTGACATGTTCCTTTCTTATTTTAAGTCAGTAATATATCTCAGGGCTGGCTGGTTAGCTCAGCTGGTTAGAGCATGGTGTTAATAATCCCTGTACCAGCCAGCCCCCCCCCCCCCCCCCCCCCCCCCCCCCCC